TTCTCGGAGCCGGTTTACATGTCAGAAGGGGATTCTCACCCATGGTCGCATACAAGCTATGGAGAACATATGCAATACCAAGAAGCATCTACGGACTTGAGGTGATGAACTTACTTGCAAAAGAAAAGGATATGCTAGAACTGGCAGAGAGAAAAATCCTCCGACAAATTCAAGGGCTTCCAAATAATACAGCAAATATGGCTGTCTATACCCTGGTAGGAGCAGAACCTATTGCCATCACATTAGACAAAAATCTACTTACCTTCTTCATGAATATTGTTCGAAATTCAGGAACCATAGAATGTGAAATTCTGCGTCGACAAATAGCATTCTCAGACCAAAGAGGAAAAGACTTTATCAACAGAGTGGAAAAAACTCTATCAAAATACAATTTGAAATCTAGTAGTTACTACATAGAAAAACCACTTAAGAAAATCGAATGGAAAAGACTAGTAGGAATAAAGATCAAGGAATACTGGAAAAATGAATGTCACTATGAAAAAATGGAAAAAACATCACTTAAATACATAGAGATACAGAACAATCCATTAAATGAAGCACACACTATATGGAAAAGCGTAAAAAACAATAGTAAAGATGTAAAGGCAGGAGAAATAAAAGCAAGAATAAGTACTCAAACGTACATATTACAAGCCAAAAGAGCTAAGTTCGATCCGAAAGTTAACCCGATATGTACAATCTGTGAACAGGAAAATGAAGATCTGGAACATTTTATTCTACGCTGCAAAGAATTGGAGCAAATAAGATCTAAATATTGCTCAAAAATAGAACAGACAATGGATGAAATCGATACCTCAACATACAAGAAGATCATACAAGAAGGGAATTTACTGCAGCTCATAATGGACTGTACTAGCAAGGACATAAACTGTTACTCAACTGTGTATGAAAGCATTGAAACTCTGGCTAGAAATATGTGCTACGAGATGCACATGCTGCGCACAAAAAGGATTAAAAACTTGAACACAAGTACAGTATAAGTAAACTTTTTTAAAATAAAATAGTTCCCTACTTTACCATCTTACTATTTTATGACGTATTAGGACCTAAATTAAATAAAAAAATTTGCAAAGTTTTAAGATATCCAGTTACCTTTAAAGAATAATGATAAGATCCGAAATAAGGTAACTTTAAACTGTGAAGGTAAACTTATGTATATATGATGAATTGTTCTAAACCCCAACCCTTTTACATAAGTCCTATAAAATAACCTTCTCATTATAAATTCTGATGTACGTATAGCACCTTTAACTAACAATTATAAGAAAGTTTGATTTAAGACCACTTAAATTCTAAATTCTTATTTGTAAATATATCCAGTTCTTACTTAACTTATTCTTACACTTCAGCACATTATGAATATTATTTGTAAAATTTTATGATGACAATCCTATGAATTAGTTATAATATTAATTTTTAGTAATTATTATTGCCTAAATTCAGTCATCTGTACATAATTAAATGCTTCCTTATGTTCTAAGGTGTATATAGTTGCTACAATTATACCCTATGGGTAGTGCTCCACAATTAATGGAGGAATATACAAGAAACTGAACTGAACTGAACTGTTACAGTAGTCTCAGGTTTATTTTTGTTTTAGTTTTTGTTTGTTTGGTTTTTTTTTTTCGGAAAAGGGGGGATGATATTCCCAATAATGAACTCTTACCACCATTTTATATGATTGACTGACAAAAATAATGGAAATTAGCAGATATTTAATTGTTTTAATGAATAAATATTTCTTTCTGTATGAATTCTTAATCCTGAGAAAAAAAGTATTGGAAAACTTCCACTTGCTTCACACGAGTAGTAAACATAAAATAGAAATTAAACCATTGAGCCCATCATTGGATGTTTATATATCTGTTAAAATGACTTGCAACAATTTTTCAGTCATTGCCTCAATTATTTTTATTCAAATGTTGAGTTAAAAACCAGCACATTTTCGCCGAAAACCTGACATGATCGATTTGATACATTCTTTATTTTTTCCCTCAACATACAGCTGCAGTTTAAATTTAAAAAAAAACAAACAAAGAAATAAATAAAAAACCCTGATCACTACGACCAATCGTTCTTTCCATCTGGGATTAGAACAATTTGCCATCGTCAGTATCATCGACCAAGACATTGGCAATTTGGGAAAACAAATGGAAAATGGCATTTCATCCAGATAAATGTAATGTTCTTACCATAACAAGAAAACGTAAGCCTATTATAAAAGAATATGTACTGCATGGCCACACCCTCGAATCTCTAAATTCTGCAAAGTACCTTGACTGCACCATCAGCTCCGACTTAAAATGGAATGAACACATCAAAACATATGTGTCAAGGCAAAAAAGACCATAGGCTTCCTCAAACGTAACTTGAACATCAATAACAACACAATAAAAGAAACTGCATACAAGTCACTTGTAAGACCGACTCTAGAATATGCATGTACAGTCTGGGATCCTTATCAACAAAACAACAAAAACCGACTGGAAATGGTACAGAGGAGAGCAGCCAGATATGTCACTAACAGATATCATAACACATCATCTGTTAGTGACATGCTTAACAAACTAGAATGGAAAACCCTCGAAGACCGTAGGAGAACATCAAGGCTTACAATGATGTATAAACTTGCCAACGGGATGGTGAAAGTTGACACCAGTAATACTCTCATTCCACCAGATAAGCTATCCAGAAACATCAACACAAATGGATACCAAGTACCATCTTGTAGGACCGAAGTGCGGAAGGAATCTTTTTAACCAAGGACGATACGAGACTGGAATGCCCTACCACATACTGCCACTAATACAGGTAGTCTTGAATACTTCAAGACTTACCTGCATGAGATGAACTAGATCAACGCCAAGATGTTTTTAAATTCACTGTATATATGAAGTATAGCACAAATTCAAATCAATTCAATATTTATTTTTTGTCTTAATTTTAAATGCGCATCCAAAAAGTGGCAAAATAATCAACTTATTGATGGTGGCCGCGTATTGGTAGAAGTAGAAGTAGAAGGCAGTTGAGGGATCATTCAAAGCTGCCTTGAGTGAATGCTCTGGAATAAACTAGGCAACATCATGATGTACATAGTTTTAATTGTAAAATAATTTTGCGAACGTTTTAAATTCATGTTTATAGCCAAGAGGAAACGTTCTAAGTTGCCCGACTGTGACTTCGCAAAATTTTTAGGCAGAACCAATTATATATTCAAAATTAAAATTCCGTTCCTTACAAAAACAAAGATCAATAAAAAAAAACATCGTCTAGATAGCCGAATTGATATTGGCACAAAACGTGGTATAGTTAACCGGTTTCAGTTGGCAACAAACTCCACTATGCATATCCACACTATATGTCGAAAAAGATTAAACTTAACAAGAACTGATTTATCCATGGCAGCCAGAGACATGTACACTGTGTAGCATCACCACCGGATATAAAATGTGAAGACAAGTAAGATCAAATTCTTCTTATTTTCATTGTATTCTACGTTTTGCTGACAAATAAAGTCCTTATAATATAGCTACTATTCAGGGCTGATTATGATCCTTAATTGGCCTTTCTCTCTCTTAATTCAAACTTTGAATCCAGAATCGGATAGGGGGTACCTGTTCAATGAAGCATGTGACGAGTTCAAACTTGATAAAAACACATTAATTTATCCTTCAATTATTCATTTGACGTTTTCGTAGACCTAAGGTATATCATATTTCTGCTTGAACAACACAGTTTTTCGGAATAAACTATTGCATGTTTACACAGAGGAATTCATGTAAATAAAGCGGAAATAGTAGTGTTTTCTGTATGGGGATTAGAATGGGCAATTGCCTGCTTTTACGACACAGGCACTTGTCTCTGAATAAAACCCACCTATACACTTTCAGGTAAATAGGTAGTTTTTTTTTCAGAGACAAGTGCCTGTGGTTTACGTGTCTGAATTCTATATGACCAAGCAGAGATGACATTACTGTTTAAAACTCATTCAAAAGGCACGCCTATTTTGCATTTGTTTTAGAATATAGGAATAGCCGCAATCTAATTAAAATTCATTCGCGTGCTCGTACATATGAGTAAAACGAAATCAGAGAACTACATTTTGATTAGATTAGAATAGCCGGTTATTAGTTGACGTCCATTTTAGATTTTACAGAAGGAATTATCCGTCCGACTTTGCCTATGCTAACGCTGCATGGCCTTTTATATAACATGTATAACTCATACTGTTTTTTTCATGCATAGGAGTTTTAGCCAATTTAACAATACGTGTGCATCTAAAGGAGACAATTTAACAAGCAGGTTTCTTTATGTTCCTCTCTATTGCTGTATCTTACATTCGTGATGTTTTGTTAGGTATATCGATTTCAAACCCGAGCAACAAGTTTAAATTGATCAGTTTGAGAAATTTGAAGAGACAAAATTGTGAAATTGATTTGAAACTACGGACGGCCTCGCTTCAGCGTGTAAATCTAATATTCCATGGCCGAATTGACTATATATACTTTTAATTCATTTAGCTATGTTTTTCAGATGTTATTTCGCGTTCTTGTTAAAGTTGTTGTCTTAAAGTTTCGGGTCTTCAAATAATTAGGTGTTGCAGAGATTTAATTTTATGGATTTTTTGTTCGTCACACTTCGTTTGTATAAGAAGTTTGTAAGAAGCATAACGGGATCACGCGCGGTTTGCCAGTTTGTATAAAAAAGAAGAAGAGGAGGTTTGGTTGTAAATGAGATAACTATCCACCACAGATCAAATGACGTAAATGTAAGCAATTACAGGTCACCGAACGACCTTCAACAATGAGCAAGATTCATACCGTATAGAAGCTTTACTGAAAGGACTCGACATAACAAAATTGTGTTTGTTTTTAGTTTCGAATTCCAAGATGATTAAGCGTTGGGCGTCACTAGAGACTTTTTTTCAGAAATACATATTGGGTGTATTAAACATAGTAACACATTCATACATATTGATGTGAAACATTGATTTATTCATTCTAAAATGAAATTGTTAGCATTATGTTATCAGATAAGTGAATAATTTGAGTCTTTATTTTGTACTAGGCCAATTTTTCTAACTGGGATAGAAGGTAGTTGAGACTGCCTATTGGAATGTGGCATCCTAAAGTCCTCAGTATCAGACATGCTTTCATCTGAGTAGATTTTCCATGGAGAATCTCTTGGTGTGGTTTCTTTCTTGTCAACATTTTTTACTCGACTGAGACGCAAGTTTTTCTTCAACGCTGACCATTTCTGTGTTTCAAAATTCTTTTTCCCTGTAAAATAAAAAGGAAGCCAAATGTGAATTAAGACATTGATACATGTATAAAAGGAGAATACTGATGTGGGTAAATATCAGGCAATGAGGCAGCAACTCCAATAACCAAAACTATCAGGTGGCAAAATACGACACAGTCTTCAACAATAGACAGACTTATATACGGTCAATATCTAAATGGTCCCAATGCTGATTATAATCAAACAGAAACTATCAATGACGTCGCGCAATCAACTACAAATTCTCCAAATGATAAAAACTAAAATATGAGAGTGTTGATTTGGGTTAACAGAATAGAGAAAATGGGTAAAAAGTATAAAGAATAGAGAAAAATGACCTAAAAAAATAAAGAATACAGAAATGCAGGACACCCCTCCCCCCCCCCCCCCCCCCCCAAATCCAAACCCTCAGATTTGACTTAAAACAACCATGCCAAAATGAGTGACCAAAGGTTCCAACCTAGGGACGGTATTTTGTCATATGCATTTCATCATTATTTCTTTGGGTTATGCATTAGAATAGGAATAAGAGTTCTGTAGTGTTTTTTTCCTTCAGTTTAAAGTTTCTTGAAACCACAGGATCCTCCCATGCATGTGTATTGGCATATATAGTCACATAGGTTTCGATGTTTCGGCTACATGGTTTAGTATAGAAGTGTAAACCTGAAGAAAACATTACAACGGACCAATCCCATTTAAGTATTTGACTTTTTGAAATATGCAAATCGTGTGAGAATTATTGAATGTTATTTGAATTAAATAAGTAGCACATTTTATTTTTATGGATTTAAATTATACTCATTAGAAACAATCAAAAATCTGCCATCAACACCAATTCTCCAAATAACGAAAAACATTAAGTTCTGACATACGACAACTACTGAAGGGGTTCCTAATTTTGAACAAACACATACATATGTGGCGGGGTTAAACTATTCTTTTTATATATCTCAACCCTCCACCTTTTTTTATGCATGTTTCAATCTTAATACGATTAAATAAAATCAGGACATTTGCAAATTTACAGAAAATTAGGTTATAAATATTTATATACTAGTATAGAGAGAAATAAATGGCTTGCCTTTCTTTGATCCTTTTGACAAATTACTGTTTTCTGTGGTCAACGATGACATGGTAGAGTCTTTTGTAATCTTCTGACGAGGGGTTATAGGCGCAGGCTTCGCTGGGAGGCGATATGAGGTCGACATTTGGTCCGATATAAGTCCATACAGTGTTGGTATATCATCGATGATATTTGTAGTTGATTGCTTTTCGCCCAAAGGACAGGAAAATGTGTCGAATTCATCTTCCGAGGCATTTACAATCGTGCTTGACGTTGGGCTTAGTGCTAGAATTGATGATGGAATGTGTTCAGTCTTCGGGTAATTCCTCATGAAAGATTTTATTTGAAAATCAAAAACACCATTGTCACAAGATGAAGAATCGGACGGGAACGAAAATTCAGAGTCCACAGAAGAATCATCATCTGATTCTGAAAAGTACTGAGTCTTTACTCGACTACGACTCGCACGATTTTCTCTATACTTTATTTTATTTTTCGTTTCTGGTTCCAAAATCGCAGGAAATTTGGGATTTTTATAAACAGCCTTCCCTCTGTCGCTCAAACTATGAACAGCCCATTTTTCAGCACTTTCAAAATCCTTTGGGTATTTCATATTGACCCCTACCTTTGCTTTTCCATTTTGTTTTAAGATACTCGCGCAAACGTCAAATCCCAAACGTACTGCATGCATGAGAGGCGAATATCCCATATAGTCCGGAATGTCTACACTCATGTCATATTTTGTTAGGGCTATAACCATTAATCTAACAGTTGCGGCGTTGCCCGACGACACTGCATGGTAAAGTGGCGTATTCCCATTGACATCTGTATAATTCAAATCGAGGTCAAGATCTGCATTTTGCAAAAGGAGGTCCACATCTTTATCTCGACCGTAAATACAAGCCCAGGAAAGCGCATTTCGTCCTACAATATCAGCTTTACTCACGGCGGTCCCTTTTCTTAGTAACATTTTCAAAATTTGTAATCTACTCCCTTCATTTTCTACAAAAATTGCTCTTATTAATGCTGTTTGTCCACAGTCGTCAGATTCGTCTGCCGAACACCCAGAATCTAGTAGCAGACGAACTTGTCTAGGGCGTCCAGCAGATATTGCTTTTAGCAAAGCCTGGCCTGCCATTTTACGGGAAAATCTGTAGTTAAACGTTTTACGTTCACACTATTCAACAAATCGTCTTATATTCAACTTTCTCAAAATGAAATGAATTTTATTAATTAAAAAAGTTTTTTCTGTGTTTCACAAGTATAAATAAGCAGGAGGAATGACAAACAAAAATTAAATGCCAAAAATCTCTACATGACATTTGATTACACACTCAGACAGTTGGTTAAAAACTGTCAAAAACTTTAATTAACTCACTGATTTATATTTTAAACAGTGAACTGTAATCGTAACGGTGCAGCAAACAAAACAATTTTTCTATACTTTGTCGTGTTATTTTTTGCCAATGTATTACGTCAGATATTTAATTAATTCGTGGTTTGTCTTGCTTTTTCTCTCTCACCAAAATAAATAGGGCAAAAAATATAATCAGTTACAAATAATTGCATAGAACACAAAAATTGTCATATTTATTTTCTATTTCAATTTTTTTTTTTTTTTATAGTGCATACATAGGTTTAAAAAACGTAGAACATGGATCGAAGTGAATAAAACAGTGTGAAGAATGTATTATATACAAATACGAACCTCTTTCAATAAAATCTATCTGATTCTAACCAAACACTTAGTGAAGATCTGTATCGGTTTACAGGAAATTAAATGGTTTACTTTGCAAGATTTCCTATGCATATTTAAAGATACTGTAGAATGATGAAATACTGGTTATTTTTTTTTTAGAATACAGATACTGTTATATTAAAACATGTTCTGAAACCATGTTAGACTCTATTTGTAAAAAGCCACATAATAGACTGAATTGGGCATACAATACGACATATATTGTAAATAGATATGATTAGTAACGGAAACGCCGGTAGGCATGAAATTTGGAAATTTTATTTTTTTGAAAAGGCAGAGGGGTGCATTCTTTTACTTTGGAAGGCAGAAGGGCGGGGGTAAGGGCACCAAGGGCGGGCCGCCCTTCTATTTAGGGCAGGCGGGAACACTATTAGTCCCAGGTTTAAACAACGACTTACTGATAACTTTGCGAATGAAGCAATATCTTTTTTTGGAAGAATCATCAAAATGTGTATTTTTACAAATATATACCAAGGATTTGTCTAGTAAGATCTAACTTTTATGATGCAAACAGAAATGAAAGATATTGTACAATGTGTAACGATAGATTAATTGAAGATGAGTATCACTTTATTTAATATGTAGGAAATATGAAGATATACGTAAAAGATATCACATAAAACAATACTATGCACTGGTGTTAAACTGATAATCGTAACTAGAATTACGACGATCCCAATATGGCGACGGCAGAAATAGGTAAAATCTTTTCAGTCATTTTTCTCAAATGTAGCCCGTTGTTGTCAAGAGTTACTCAGCTGCAAGGTTTTTCTATACCATAACATCATATTTGAATCGTAAAGGTGCACTATAATTGTCTAAGAGCTTAGAAAACTGCCGTCGAAAAATTCGAGATGATAATCGTAACTCGCAAATTTTTTTCTTGTTTGATAATCGTAATTTCTTTATGGGATAATAGTAACTGAAAAATAATAAATGTGTCTTCCAGCTTGTCAATGGTATTTTGTGTGTTAAAACGGCAATGTCCAGTTAAACGATGACATTAACGCGCAAAATAAAAAATAATGAAGCAACTTACAGGTTAATATTTAGGACAAATTTACTTACATGTATATAAATCTCGATTTATAACTGACAACAATATGCATAACCTTTTAATATATACATGTACCTGTTAAAGATATGGAAAATGAAGCAGCTGTCGAGTCAGTTATTGTGGTAAATAGAGAATTTAAATTCTTTTAAAGTTTCAATGTTGTTTTCGCGTTTAGGGTTTTTTTTTTTGGAAGTGGGGAAGGGGGTATTACCATTATCCCATATCCCAAAAGTGCAATCCTTTCAAATGAAAGTCCCGTATACCACATTTCAATATGCCATATATTTTGCCTCAAATATTGCATATATCCAATCGACTTTTAAATCAATAAAAAGGGCAAGTTAACCTCCCCTATCTCAATATTCCCTATACCACGGGGGTGGCTGTGGGTTACTTCCTATATAAATATATAAGTTATAACATGGATCAGATTTTTGGTCTTCGGCAATATATGAAAGGGGATATTTGTTTTTTAATTTCAGCAGCACGCCAGAAGTGACAACACCCCTTCCCCCGTGCCTTATACAGACCTCATTTATCATAAGATCGCTGTCAGTTTTGAGTTCCCTGTTGTTTATATTCGGGGATGGGTTCACAAATTATGACGGTAAAAGGGAAATGGAAGGGGGGGTGCTATAAATTTAACGTTTATACTAAAGGAGTAGGGACAATAAGGCCCTTATTTGGCCTAAATATTACTGCAAATTTAAAAGTTATCCTACATATTCTTAAATTTGTCCTAACTAGACTAAGGTACGGGGTATTTAGAAAATAAAAACAAATTTGACATTGATCGAGTAACCATGGTAACAAACCATGACGAAATTCTTATATTTTGTAAAATTTCTTGATTTTCCTTGTTTTTCATCAAATTTTAAGTATATTTTAGATTGGCAAAGTATGTGCGCATCCAAGAAACAACTTTATATTTGGTGAGATTATGTCAATAGTTATAATAAAGCTTCTCTTAAATTATTTTGTTGTTTCTTGCCTGCGCATGATGTTTCCACAATGGAAATAACGATGGAAAACTGCTTAAATTTTGTATTTTTCGTCATTTTCATGAAAACGGTACATATTATGACGTAATTGTGACGTCATCAGATAAAAAATCTTAGTGTTTTCATTTATATTTCTTGACTCTATGCATTTCCTAACATTATGTGCCAATTTGGTGTAGTTGTCAAACATTTTATTTTCTTGGGTCAAAACCGGGCCTTAATGCCCCTACCCCTTTCTGCGAGAAATCAACAAAACTTTCCATCAGTTACTTAACTGCATTGTTGGATTTAACAGTTGATACTTTGATTGGTGGATATGAGTTTTCATTTTGCCCTTTTCCTTATATTTCAATAGAAATTGATATAGTTTAATTTTGGAGTGAAATGTATCCCGGTTAAAATAGCCGTTCATATTTTTCAAGTGAATTCACTTTTGTTCTGTTTTACACTGATATTTTATATGATTTTAAAAGTTAAATTCAAATATTTTGATTAAATACCCATGTATTTTAGGACGTTTCTTTAAACAGGGTGGATGGTAAAGGATCTAGAATAGTTACCAGTTTATTGTTACTATTGTTTATTAGGTCTTTCCACCTTTCCGTGGAAAGACCTATTGGTTTTCTTCTGATTAGGTCTTTCCACCTTTCCGTGGAAAGACCTATTGGTTTTCTTCTGATTATTTTTTTTTTCTTCCGCCTAATTTTTTTCTTGCGGTGTATTTTCGTTTCAAAAGTTGTCGCTTAGTTTTTTGGTATATGATATCATACAGTCTATACGCTTTTGAAACTGACCCTGTTTAACCAAACACTTTTCTTTGTAAGAGTTATGTCCCCAAACACTGTTTTTCTTGTTATGAGATCTCCTCCTCAACCGTAAAAGAAAGCAACAAATTTATTTTTCCAAATTGCTCGTTATATCCTCAGGATGTTAGGTTTTATTTAGACCGAAGCTTTACGAAGACTCCATATGAGAGTTATTTCCCCTTTTGTATTTGATATATGTGAAATGTATTTGTAACTGGAAAACCATAAGTGATAGAGGTCTAGGGTCTTTTGATTTGAGGTCCTTGGTCCATAAAAATGAAAATGAGTTCAAGGTTAAAGGTCAAGGTCATGTTAAAAATTTTGATTTTGGCTTGTTATCACTAATTTTCAGAAATCTTATAAGATATCGACAAATTTTTTTACAGAATTGTTAGTTGCGACATGTTGTAACACGTAAATTTGAGTTGAAAGGGTACGGGGACATTTAATGGGAATTTTCTCCCCTTTTATATTCAAAATTACATGTATGGTGATATAACTTATTCATCTTATATAATTGAGACCTAGGGTATTTTGATTTGAGGCCCTTGTTTCATGACCTTTAAATTGGGGTCAAGGTCAAAGTTTAATTTGACGTTCTATTTTTTTTTTTTTTTTTCTTCCGCCTAATTTTTTTCTTGCGGTGTATTTTTGTTTCAAAAGTTGTCGCTTAGTTTTTTGGTATATGATATCATACAGTCTATACGCTTTTGAAACTGACCCTGTTTAACCGAACATTTTTCTTTGTAAGAGTTATCTCCCCAAACACTGTTTTTCTTGTTATGAGATCTCCTCCACAACCGTAAAAAAAAGCGACAAATTTATTTTTCCAAATTGCTCGTTATATCCTCAGGATGTTAGGTTTTATTTAGACCGAAGCTTTGCGAAGACTCCATATGAGAGTTATTTCCCCTTTTGTATTTGATATATGTGAAATGTATTTGTAACTGGAAAACCATAAGTGATAGAGGCCTAGGGTCTTTTGATTTGAGGTCCTTGGTCCATAAAAATGAAAATGAGGTCAAGGTCAAAGGTCAAGGTCATGTAAAAAAATTTGATTTTGGCTTGTTATCACTAATTTTCAGAAATCTTATAAGATATCGACAAATTTTTTTACAGAATTGTTAGTTGCGATATGTCATAACACGTAAATTTGAGTTGAAAGGGTACGGAGACATTTAATGGGAATTTTCTCCCCTATCATATTCAAAATTACACGTATGGTGAAATACCTCATTCATCATATATAATTGAGACCTAGGGTATTTTGATTTGAAGCCCTTGTTTCATGACCTTGAAATTGTGGTCAAGGTCAAAGGTTGATTCGACGTTCTTTATTTTGACCTTTGCTTTTACCTCATATATATACATGATAAAGCCATGGAACTTATTGCATTAGGTTGCAAGCTATTTGAACTTGAAAAAGCCAACCGGAAGTGACCTTTTGTAAACCGGAAGTAGCTATTTGTTGTACTAAATTAATGTAAAAATATATAGAACTATATATTTTTGGAATCAGTGTCAAGTAAACTATCAAACAATACCGGAAGTGACATTTTTTAAACCGGAAGTCAAAAATT